TTAGAAATTTATTTTGCCTCATTAAAAAGATGAACACTTTAGAAAAAAATTAGTCACTGAGATTCTCTCTCCCACCATGTGTAGTAGAAGGGCTGTGGGGTAAAATAAAAATGTCATTTTGTATCCTGCCAGGTAAGTGAGAATTTTGAGGCTTCATAAGATTGTGGAAATGAAAGTGGGGAGGGTGGTGTACAGTCAAGTAAATGCAGATAAGGTTATTGTATATGTAAGAGCTTTCAAGCAGGAGCTGAACACAAAATCCAAATTTCCTTGGAAATGTTCACCTTATTCAAGATTTTAAAAATTAAAATTAGGTAGTATATTTCAGATATAGAGGATACTTTGTGATACTTTGATGAAATTATACAATAGGAAATAATCAGATAAGGTTAAATGGCATTTGTTTTTAGAGAAACATTTATCTTAGTTTTTAATTTTTTAACTTTTTATCAATTGAGATTCCATGCAATGTATTTTGATCACATTCATCCCCAAATCATGCACCTAACTTCTTCCAGATCCACTCCAACCCTTACGTGCAGTTTCATCATGTCCTATTCTTTAAAAAATAACTTACAGCCCCCTGTTTGTGCTGTTTTTATGCTTCTGGGTGTGACATTCTTCACTGGAGGATGGCAGAAATATCAGAAGAAAGACACTTAAAAAGCTGTCACTCCTCTCTCTAGAAGCCGTCAACTGTCTGTGGCTCCTCAGTGAGGGGTAGCGGTTCATGAGCCTCTTCCCACCCCATGCTAGATTGCTGATTAGTATAACTTTGTGAAGGCAAACAGCCTTGGAGAGTGGGCATGATATAGATGTTCCATTTGTGCCTGAATGCTCCACTTACATTTATTCTCTGCACATTGTCCAGTTGTTAGTTTCTGCATTAATCACTGTTCTTTGCACAAAGAAACTTCTCTGATGAGATCCAAGAACTTCATTAATTTATGGTTTAGAATGAAACATATTTGTTGTTCTTGGTGATGCAGAACTTTAATCTTAGAGTTTAGGAGGGAAAGACAAGAAGATCTCTATGAGATCAAGGCCAGCCTGGTCTACATAGGGAGTTCAAGGCCAGCTCCTGCTACAGAAAGACCCTGTCTTAAAAATACAATAAAATGGAAGAATGATACAAATTTAGAGAGCAGTTTGACACTGGGTTCATTTAGCATAGTAATAGTAGCAGGCTCACCTCTAGGACCTATGAGCTTTCCAGCTATCAGTTACTGGTCAGATTTACAGAACCAAGCTTGTGTTTCCATAAGTGGTGTGGGCTTTCAATCTAATTACAAAGTAATTGGTTATCCCCATAACACTTAGACTATTATTTCACTCATGGTCATGTCCTGCAACCATAGTCATTTTTGAGGTTCATAGGGTTTACAACTGGGTAAGACTGTTGATGATTTTTCCCTTAGCAGAGAAAGTTTTCTTATGCCGGTGTATTGGGGGATTTTCAAACCTGTCTTTTATGACGTGATTCCTAGAAGCCATACTGGCAGAGTTCAAAGCCCTTGCCTATTTGTAAACATGATCCACAATCCTGTAGTACAACTGTAAAATGGTCATTTTTTGAGATGTACAAGAACAAATTATCTGCACACAATTTTTAAAAATATTCTATTTATTATTTTTAATTTATGTGTATGAGTATACTGTCTGCATGTGTGAAAGTGTACCTGTTTCATGCAATGCCTATTGAGGTCAGAAGAGGGTGTCAGATCCCCTGTAACTGGAATTATGGTTGTTTGTTAGCTGCCATGTAGGTGCTTGGAATTGAACTTGGGTTTTCTGCAGGAGCAGCTAGCCAGTGCGCTTAACCTCCAGGCCATCTCTCAAATCCTGCACACCATATTGTAATCTGGTCATGACACTGTTTAATGGTATTTCAAACAAAATAAGAGGCCATCTAACACTCATGCCAGTAAAAATTAGATTAAAAAAACAACAATGAATCATCATATAGAACAATAAATATACTGAGGACAAATACAGATAAGTGAAAGGCATCTTCTCCCACGTGTGTTCAGATGAATAAGTTTTAAGCTTTCTGAGCTTGGTTCACCCCTCACTATATGGCAGCTATAGCAGTGCTAAGATGAAATGATTGTTGTAGAGTCAAAACAGGGATGAAGCACAAAAGCCAAGTCACTCAGGAGAGTGGCATCTACAACATAGAATGGGTTCAGTGTTTTTATGAGCATAAAACAGTAACACTGTCTGGGAGATGAAAGCTTCTTTTTAGTAACAGTATCCAAACTATTCATTTAAGAATTAATGCTAGTGAAGGCAGGCAGGGTGGTGCATGCCATTAATACCAGCACTTGGGAGGCAGAGGCAAGCAGATTTCTGTGGGTGTAAGGCCAACGTTGTCTACATAGGAAGTTCCAGGACATCTGAGAATACAGGGAAGCCCTATCTCAAAAAGATCAAAAATAAATAAATAAATAAATAAATAAAAATTTAAAAAAGAATTAATGCTAGTGAATAATAAAAAATACATAAAATTTAAAAACATTAAGCATAGTGTTGAAAAAACACTTCATCAATATTTAAAATTTTTAATTAAATTACTACAAATTTCATACAATGTATTTTGATCATATTTAGCCCTCTCTCACTCTCCTCTGCACACCCCTTGCTAAGACTGCATGATTCATGTGTCTAATATCTAATGCATGTGTGTATACATATATATATGACTCAAACCATCCTGACTCTTCATTTCTGTTGTATTTATTTCTTTTTAAAAATATTTTATTATATATGTATGTGTGTATTGCCTGCATGTAAGTGCACCTGTGTTTTGTAATGCCAATGGAGATCAGGAGATGGCATCAGATCCCCATAAGTGGAGTTATAGATAGTGGTTATCTACCATGTTGGTGCTAGGAATCTAACACAGACCCTCTGCAAAAGCAGCTAGTCAGTGCTCTTAACTGCTGAGCCATCTCTCCAGTCACAAATTTATTTTTTGTTTTAAATTTTTTGATTCATTTATTTTTATTTTATGTATATGAGTATTTTGCATGCATGCATGTAAGTTTACCATATACCTGTAATGCCCACACAGGAAGGTGAATAGAGGTTGCTGAATGTCCTGGAGCTGGAGTTTGGGAAGATTTTTGGCTGCCTTGTAGGTTCTGGGAATCAAACCCAAGTCCTCTGCAAGAACAGCCTCTTCTCTGAACCACTGAGTCATCTCTGCAGTCCCCAATTATATTCATTTCTTAGGATTTATAATCTTTATATTGATAAGCCTTTAGAGGACTTATTAGAAAAACAAGTCCTGTCAGAAGTTTGACTTTTTAAAACACCTCAAAGTTAATACCTAGAGGATATTAAGAAATATTTTCCCCCAGAAAATCTCAGTGATAAAGAATGCAGTATATTAACAGGGCTTCCTGCACAGTCCTCAGTGGTGAAAATAGATTCAGTTTATGGCACTGTCAGGAAAGTCCCCTCCAACCATAGCACTGAGTCTCCTGCTCACACTAAACAGCTCAAAGAGGCAAACCCTTCCCTGAATCTCACATTGTATTCCTGCTTAAGGCAAATTACCTGTCAGAAACATGACTCTCTATAGTCTTCATATGAGATGATCGATACACCATCAGCTGTGCTTTAGTTTGTAAATGTGCCAACTTAGAAATCTGGGGTTCACAATAATCTACCTTCTTATCTTCAACATGTGTTAAATTCTGTTTTTTTCCTACAAAAAAGTGGGACAGGACTTAGTGGAGGTAATTTGCAAGCATGCTGTTGTTTTTAGAAAATAATTAGAGTTTGGAGAGTTAGGTCAACCATCAACAGCACTGGTTGCTCTTTTAAGGGACCCAGGTTCAATTCCCAGCACCCACATGGTGGCTAACAATCATCTTTAACTCCAGTTCTAGGGGAATTCAATGCTCTTTTCTGACCTCTGAGGGCATTGTATGACACCAGTACATTTTCTTACATGCAGGCAATAAACTCATACACATAAAATATAAATAAATAAAATTTTAAAAGATAATTATTAGTAGACATAAATACATGGTTTATTATTCAAGTTCTTCTATTTTTCAGTTCAATTCAAGTTACCCTGTATCATCCACAGAATATTTCCTGCATTTCATTATTCTTCACACGACACTTATTCATGGTCAATGAAAATCTAATTTCTACACACTGATGTTATTCACCACTGATCTTGGCCTAATTGTAGGGTGAATTTATTTAACATGTAGGCTTTTGCTATCATTTGCTTCCATTTGGATGTTATAATACTTAAAACATCATTTGTGAGTTAGATGAGTGTTTGTCCATCTCTCAGTGGGAGAGGGAGAGAGCAAGGAAAAGAGACACAGAGAGAGAAGGAAAAGAGATTGATGTGCTACGATTGGTCACTATTTCTCTCTAACCATATGTTTCTCTCACTTATGAATTGCTGCTGAATTTATTCACTATAATGATGGAACCATGGAATTATAAATCTCCTTTTCAATAATTTTCTGACATTTGAATTTTTTTCATAATACTTGGAGTTTTGTGCCTTCAAGGTGTGCACAATAACACTGATGAAAACTCCAATCCATTTTGTGCATGTGTATAATGAACATAAGAAAATGAAGTATTTTACAACCTTGTAAATAAAAAGTCATGTTCAAAACATGATATATTGAAAATGATTCAGACTGTTGTTCTCTCAGATTCAGTTTCTAGATATTTATCTAAACAGTCAGAATTAATTTTATAAAGATCTTGGAAAAATACATGATGACTCGCTAAACCACCAACCCTGTTTCTATAACTGCAATACAGATTAAAAGAGAAATATTGAGAAGTTCAGGAAGACAATGCATGTATTTAAGAGAACTCAAATTTGTACATTTTATAGGCATAATGTAGTGATTGCATCTTATGGAAATTAAAATGCATTATTACTAAGAGGAAGGCTCAGTAGAAACTCCAAGTGTCTTTTCCTTCCTTTGTCTCACAGTAGGTAAACAGTGGACAACATGAGCAATCACACAGTGGACACAGATTTCTTCCTCATGGAATTCTCTGACAGCAAGCAGCTCCAGGTGCTCCAGGGCTTTCTGTTTCTTCTGATTTACTTGGTGTCCCTCATGGGGAACCTTCTCATCATCATGCTTGTCACTGTGGACCAGTGTCTTCACACCCCCATGTACTTCTTCCTGAAGAACTTGTCCTTTGTCGATGTGTGCCTCATTTCAGTCACAGTCCCAAAGCTCATTTTCAGCTCTTTATTTCACAGAAATACTATCTCATTCCAAGGATGCCTGTGTCAGGTCTTGTTTGTGGTTTTCTCTGGGACATCTGAGCTTTCCCTCCTCACAGCCATGTCGTATGACCGCTATGTGGCCATCTGTCACCCACTGCACTATGATGCCATCATGAACAGGGTAGTCTGTGTACAGATGGTAGCTGTCTCTTGGCTGTTTGGAAGTCTCTTTGGGGTCTTATATTCATATGGTACCTTCTCTTTATCTTTCTGTGACTCCAGAAAAGTGTCACAGTTCTTCTGTGATGTCCCCTCCCTACTGAAGATTTCTTGCTCGAAGATGCATGTCACTATTGACATTACTGTGATCTTTGGAGTCATGTATGGGTTTTTCTGCTTAGTGCCCATAGGGTTTCCATATGTTTCCAT